CTTCAAGATGGAGGCAACCTGAAACAAGCCACGTGCGGTGCCACGTGACGTTTCGCGCCCAGGGGCCTCCGCCAGTTGAAGGTGCCTCCAGAGACGAAGTGAAAAGTGATTTCGTTTGTGAATGATGAATTGTATTTGTTGTTAGCATTGTAACATTTTTTTAAATTCTTTAACTTTGTTTTCCTTTGGAAAATATTACCTGTAGCCCAGGGGCCTACACAATATTAATCAGGCCCTGGTTTTACGATGCAAGTTCTGGTGAAGTATGGCGAACAAGCCATGGATGGTTTAAAGCGCCTTTCTTGAACGGGATCTGTTAGTGACGTTAAAGCTATGAAATGCGTTTCGTTTTAACGGAGATACATTGACCACGCTCGCGTGCATATATTGTCCGCGTGTGTGTTAAGTGTGTGTGTGTGTTAAGTGTGTGGTTTTTAAGTGTGTGTGTTAGGTGTGTGTTGAGTGTGTGGTTTTTTAAGTGTGTGTGTTAGGTGTGTGTAAACTGTGTGTGTGTGTTAAGTGTGTGGTGTGTGTTAAGTGTGTGGTGTGTGTGTGTGTGTTAAGTGTGTGTGTTAAGTGTGTATTAGGTGTGTGTAAACTGTGTGTGTGTTAAGTGTGTGGTTTTTAAGTGTGTTAAGTGTGTGTGCGTGTTAAGTGTGTTGTGTGTAAACTGTGTGTGTGTTAAGTGTGTGTTAGGTGTGTGTAAACTGAGTGTGTGTTAGGTGTGTGTAAACTGAGTGTGTGTTAAGTGTGTGTAAACTGAGTGTGTGTTAGGTGTGTGTAAACTGAGTGTGTGTTAAGTGTGTGTGTAAACTGAGTGTGTGTTAAGTGTGTGTGTTAACTTTGTGTATTATCTCTGTTTATTTATGAAAGGCACAATAGTCGACGTGGATTGGGGTGGTGGTTGGAGTCGATGGGTCTCTATGTGGGTCTACGGGTCTCTGTGTGGGTCTACGGGTCTCTATGTGGGTCTACGGGTCTCTGTGTGGGTCTACGGGTCTCTGTGTGGGTTTACGGGTCTCTGTGGGTCTACGGGTCTCTGTGGGTCTACGGGTCTCTGTGTGGGTCTACGGGTCTCTGTGTGGGTTTACGGGTCTCTGTGGGTCTACGGGTCTCTGTGTGGGTCTACGGGTCTCTGTGTGGGTCTACGGGTCTCTGTGTGGGTCTACGGGTCTCTGTGTGGGTCTACGGGTCTCTGTGTGGGTCTACGGGTCTCTGTGTGGGTCTACGGGTCTCTGTGGGTCTACGGGTCTCTGTGTGGGTCTACGGGTCTCTGTGTGGGTCTACGGGTCTCTGTGGGTCTACGGGTCTCTGTGTGGGTCTACGGGTCTCTGTGTGGGTCTACGGGTCTCTGTAGGAGTTTATGGGTCTGTTGTGCGAGTCTATGGGTCTCTGTGTGATGAGTCTATGGGTCTCTGCTGTGTGAGTCTATGGGTCTCTGTGTGATGAGTCTATGGGTCTCTGCTGTGTGAGTCTATGGGTCTCTGTGTGATGAGTCTATGGGTCTCTGTGTGATGAGTCTATGGGTCACTGCTGTGTGAATCTATGGGTCTCTGTGTGATGAGTCTATGGGTCACTGCTGTGTGAATCTATGGGTCTCTGTGTGATGAGTCTATGGGTCTCTGTGTGATGAGTCTATGGGTCTCTGCTATGTGAGTCTATGGGTCTTTGCTGTGGGAGCCTATGGGTCTCTGTGGGAGTGTATGGGTTTCTGTTTGAGTCTATAGGTCTTTACTGTGTGACTATGGATCTTTTTGCGAGTCCCAGCGTCTGTGTGAGCCTACAGTGAGTGAAAAAAAGTATTTGATCCCCTGCTGATTTTGTACGTTTGCCCACTGACAAAGAAATAATCAGTCTATAATTTTAATGGTAGGTTTATTTGCACAGTGAGAGACAGAATAACAACAAAAAAATCCAGAAAATGCATGTCAAAAATGTTATAAATTGATTTGCATTTTAACGAGGGAAATAAGTATTTGTGACCCCTCTGCAAAACATGACTTAGTACTTGGTGGCAAAACCCTTGTTAGCAATCACAGAGGTCAGACGTTTCTTGTAGTTGGCCATCAGGTTTGCACACATCTCAGGAGGGATTTTGTCCCACTCCTCTTTGCAGATCTTCTCCAAGTCATTAAGGTTTCGAGGCTGACGTTTGGCAACTCGAACCTTCAGCTCAGATTTTCTATGGGATTAAGGTCTGGAGACTGGCTAGGCCACTCCAGGACCTTAATGTGCTTCTTCTTGAGCCACTCCTTTGTTGCCTTGTCCGTGTGTTTTGGGTCATTGTCATGCTGGAATACCCATCCACGACCCATTTTCAAATGCCCTGGCTGAGGGAAGGAGGTTCTCACCCAAGATTTGACGGTACATGGCCCCGTCCATCGTCCCTTTGATGCGGTGAAGTTGTCCTGTCCCCTTAGCAGAAAAACACCCCCAAAGCATAATGTTTCCACCTCCATGTTTGACGGTGGGGATGGTGTTCTTGGGGTCATAGGCAGCATTCCTCCTCCTCCAAACACGGCGAGTTGAGTTGATGCCAAAGAGCTCCATTTTGGTCTCATCTGACCACAACACTTTCACCCAGTTGTCCTCTGAATAATTCAGATGTTCATTGGCAAACTTCAGACGGGCATGTATATGTGCTTTCTTGAGCAGGGGGACCTTGCGGGCGCTGCAGGATTTCAGTCCTTCACGGTGTAGTGTGTTAACAATCTTGTCCCTGACATCCTTGGAGAGCTCTTTGGTCTTGGCCATGGTGGAGAGTTTGGAATCGGATTGATTGCGTCTGTGGACAGGTGTCTTTTATACAGGTAACAGGCTGAGATTAGGAGCACTCCCTTTAAGAGTGTGCTCCTAATCTCAGCTCGTTACTTGTATAGAAGACACCTGGGAGCCAGAAATCTTTCTGATTGAGAGGGAGTCAAATACTTATTTCCCTTTAAAATGCAAATCAATTCATAAAAAAAAAATTCTGACATGCGTTTTTTTGTATTTTGTTGTTGTTATTCTGTCTCTCACTGTTCAAATAAACCTACCATTAAAATTATAGACTGATCATTTCTTTGTCAGTGGGCAAATGTACAAAGTCAGCAGGGGATCAAATACTGTTTTCCCTCACTGTGTGTGTCTCTATGCTAGTCTGTGCATTTCTGTGAGTATGCGTCTCTATACGAGTCTCTGGGTGTCTGTGCCAGTCCACGTGTCTCAATCAGTCTATGGGTCTTTATACGCGTCCATGTATCGCTATTTGAGTTAATCTATGCTCCTTTATGTGAGTCTGTGGGTCTCTATGTGAGTCTGTGGGTCTCTATGTGAGTCTGTGGGTCTCTATGTGAGTCTGTGGGTCTCTATGTGAGTCTGTGGGTCTCTATGTGAGTCTGTGGGTCTCTATGTGAGTTTGTGGGTCTTTATGTGAGTCTGTGGGTCTCTATGTGAGTCTGTGGGTCTCTATGTGAGTCTGTGGGTCTCTATGTGAGTCTGTGGGTCTCTATGTGAGTCTGTGGGTCTCTATGTGAGGCTGTGGGTCTCTATGTGAGCCTGTGGGTCTCTGTGAGTCTGTGGGTCTCTGTGTGAGTCTGTGGGTCTCTGTGTGAGTCTATGGGTCTCTGTGTGAGTCTGTGGGTCTCTGTGTGAGTCTGTGGGTCTCTGTGTGAGTCTGTGGGTCTCTGTGTGAGTCTGTGGGTCTCTGTGTGACTCTGTGCGTCTCTGTGTGAGTCTGCGGGTCTCTATGTGAGTCTGTGGGTCTCTATGTGAGTCTGTGCATCTCTGTGTGAGTCTGTGGGTCTCTGTGTGAGTCTGTGGGTCTCTGTGTGAGTCTGTGCGTCTCTATGTGAGTCTGTGGGTCTCTGTGTGAGTCTGTGGGTCTCTGTGTGAGTCTGTAGGTCTCTATGTGAGTCTGTGGGTCTCTATGTGAGTCTGTGGGTCTCTGTGTGAGTCTGTGGGTCTCTGTGTGAGTCTGTGGGTCTCTGTGTGAGTCTGTAGGTCTCTATGTGAGTCTGTGGGTCTCTATGTGAGTCTGTGGGTCTCTCTGCGAGGTGAGAAGTTAAAACGAGCTGATGTATTTAATGGTTCCGACTCACACCGACAACGCTTTGCATGGCTGTTGGAATGTAGGTCTCTAATCTCCCCCCTCGCTCTCCCTATCTCTCCCTCTGCCTATCTCTCCCTCCCGCTCTCTCTCTCTCTCCCTATCTTTCTTTGTTTAACGATCAGAGGAAACAAGAAGATGCTCGGTGTAGTCGGCACTTTGCTTCGTTCATCATTTCGGTTTTTTCAACGCTTTGCTTTATGTAACCCCCCCCGCCCCCCACATTTTAAAATGAAAGATTTCACGAAAGATTTCACGCTCTGCTCTCCTTACCCCTTCCCTCTCTCTCCACCCCCTCTCTCTCTACCCCCCCTCAATGTACCCCCTCTCTCCCTGCTCCATGTCTATGTTCCCCCTGTTTTCTATGTACATATTTGTCTATATATGTGTTTTTTAAACTACGACAAGTGCTGCATCTGCACCCCGCCCTTCCCGCAGTCCTACGGCCTCCGACGGGTAGCTCAGATCTGCACGACGAGCTCTCTACCGTCATCCTATCTCTCTCTCCCTCCCTCCCGCTCTCCGTCATCCTATCTCTCTCCCTCCCTCCCTCTCTCCGTCATCCTATCTCTCTCTCTCCCTCCCTCCCGCTCTCCATCATCCTATCTCTCTCTCTCCCTCCCTCCCTCTCTCCGTCATCTTATCTCTCTCTCTCCCTCCCGCTCTCCGTCATCCTATCTCTCTCCCTCCCTCCCTCTCTCCGTCACCCTATCTCTCTCTCTCCCTCCCTCCGTCATCCTATCTCCCTCCCTCCCTCCCGCTCTCCGTCATCCTATCTCTCTCTCTCCCTCTCTCCGTCACCCTATCTTCCTCCCTCCCTCCCGCTCTCCGTCATCCTATCTCTCTCCCTCCCTCCCTCCCGCTCTCCGTCATCCTATCTCTCTCCCTCCCTCCCGCTCTCCGTCATCCTATCTCTCTCCCTTTCTCTCTCCGTCATCCTATCTCTCTCTCCCTCCCTCCCGCTCTCCGTCATCCTATCTCTCTCCCTTTCTCTCTCCGTCATCCTATCTCTCTCCCTCCCTCCCGCTCTCCGTCATCCTATCTCTCTCCCTCCCTCTCTCTCTCCGTCATCCTATCTCTCTCCCACCCTCTCTCTCTCCGTCATCCTATCTCTCTCCCTCCCTCCCGCTCTCCGTCACCCTATCTCTCTCCCTCCCTCCCGCTCTCCGTCACCCTATCTCTCTCCCTCCCTCTCTCTCTCCGTCATCCTATCTCTCTCCCTCCCTCTCTCTCTCCGTCATCCTATCTCTCTCCCTCTCTCCCGCTCTCCGTCATCCTATCTCTCTCCCTCCCTCTCTCTCTCCGTCATCCTATCTCTCTCCCTCCCTCCCGCTCTCCGTCATCCTATCTCCCTCCCTCCCTCTCTCTCTCAATCTCTCGCCCTCGCTCACTCGCTCTCCGTGATAATGTCAGTAATTGAATGGAAGTCTATTTTACATCGGCCGCTCGTCGCCTTCGCACGAATCGACCGCCGACGCACGAGTCCAATTCCGTCCCTCGGAACGGCGGCGAGCAAGCGAGAAAGAGAGACGCGCACACAGAGACAAAAGATCCTCCCTCCTGTGTAGCCTTGACGGAGTGCTGGGGCAAGTGCTGTGAGCGAGCAGCAACCGTGACCATGCACGATGAGGGGGGGGGGGTGGGGGGGTGTAGGTGGCCAGCAACACGCCCGGCCGCCTTTGTCTCCCCCGCGCCGCACCGGGTTGAGGCCGAGTCGACCTAAGAGGGAGACCCCAGGACCGGTTCAGGATAATCATCACCGGGTTTGGACGTCCGTGAGCGGGATTCGAACCCGGGCGCTCTCGTCGTGTTAGCACACAGACACACAAAGACAAAGATCCCCCATATAGCCTTCAGCAGACTGTCGGGGCAAGTGCCGTTAGCGAGTAGCAGCGCCTGTGAAGGCCGGCACGGCGCACGAGGCGGTGGTGGGCGGACAGCACCTCGCCCCCCCGGCCGGGAATCGAACTCGTGTGTCCCGGGTCCGCAGTGCGGCGCGCTGACCGCCGTGCCACCACTCCCTAGGAGCGCTCTCCCACCCCTCTCGCGCTCGCTCTGTCACACACTCACACACTCACACACTCACACACTCACGCACTCACGCACTCACGCACTCACGCACTCACACACTCACGCACTCACACACGCACTCACACACTCACACACTCACACACTCACGCACTCACGCACTCACGCACTCACACACGCACACACGCACTCACGCACTCACGCACTCACTCACACACTCACACACTCACGCACTCACACACTCACACACTCACGCACTCACACACTCACACACTCACGCACTCACACACTCACACACTCACGCACTCACGAACTCACGCACTCACACATTCACGCACTCACACACTCACACACTCACGCACTCACACACTCACACACGCACTCACACACTCACGCACTCACACACTCACGCACTCACACACTCACACACTCACGCACTCACACACTCACACACGCACTCACACACTCACACACTCACGCACTCACACACTCACACACTCACGCACTCACACACTCACACACTCACGCACTCACACACTCACACACTCACGCACTCACACACTCACACACTCACACACTCACGCACTCACACACTCACGCACTCACACACTCACACACCCACGCACTCACACACTCACGCACTCACACACTCACGCACTCACACACTCACACACTCACGCACTCACGCACTCACACACTCACACACTCGTAGACGCGGAGCGAGAGAGCGATTGATAGCGGGGGGGGGGGGGGGGTGAGATAGATTGAGAGATAGGCACGATGTGATGAATAGACAGAGCAGAATGGAATAATAGATTTGAAGGTTCCTTCGCTGCCCTTAGCCGATGTGCACCACAGCCTTGCTCACACGACAGAGGTCGCAGGGTCGATCTCCTGGAGAGGCGGTTGGAACGACGGAGGTCCACGCACAGAGACCCACAGACTCGCACAGAGACACACAGACTCGCACAGAGACCCAAAAACTCACACAGAGACCCACAGACTCGCACAGAGACCCACAGACTAGCACAGAGACCCACAGACTAGCACAGATACTCACAGACTCGCACGGAGACCCACAGACTCGCACAGAGACCCACAGACTCACACAGAGACCCATGAAAGACACCCATCCACCCAACAACCCATCCACCCAGTCAGCCACCCCACCAGCCACCCAGCCAGCCACCCAGCCAGCCACCAACCCATCCACTCAGCCACCCACCCAAACACTCAGTCACCCATCCAAACACTTAGCCACCCACAGACTCTCACAGAGACCCATGAAAGACACCCATCCACCCAACAACCCAGCCACCAACCCACCCACCCAGCCAGCCACCAACCCATCCATCCATCCACCCACCCACCAACCCATCCACCCACCCACCCAGCCACCCACCCACCAACCCACCCACCCAGCCAGCCACCAACCCACCCAGCCACCCAACCAGCCACCGACCCACCCACCCATCCACCCACCCACCCAGCCACCCACCCATCAACCCAGCCAACCACCCACCAACCCACCCACCAACCCAACCACTCAACCACCTAGCCACCCACCCACCAACCCACCCACCCAGCCACCCACCCACCCAGCCACCCACCCAGCCAGCCACCCACCAACCCAACCACCCAGCCACCCACCAACCAACCAACCCACCCAACCAGCCACCCACCCACCAACCCAGCCAACCACCCACCAATGCACCCGCTCACAATAGTGGACACTCAGCCACCCATCCAAACACTCAGCCACCCACCTAGCCAGCCAGCCACCAACCCACCCACCCAGCCACCCACCAACCCATCCATCCACCCACCCACCAACCCATCCACCCACCCACCCAGCCACCCACTCACCAACCCACCCACCCAGCCAGCCACCAACCCACCCAGCCACCCACCAACCCATCCACCCACCCAGCCACCCACCCACCCAGCCAGCCAATTACTCACCCAGCCAGCCAACCAGCCACCAACCCACCCACCCAGCCACCCACCAACCAACCCACCCACCCAGCCACCCACCCACCCACCAACCCAGCCAACCACCCACCAATGCACCCGCTCACAAAATAGCCGACGGATATGAGGAGTGGCGAGCGAGGAATGAAACGGCGACCGCGAACACAAAGCCCAGCAGACCGACAGGGCAGAGGAGGAGCGGTGGTGGCTCACTCATCCCAACTCGTCTCGAGACGTATTGCGTCACCGTCGACGTCATCAGCCGTGGTCAATCCACTGCTGGACGTAGCCCCCCACCCACCCTCCCCCCCCCATGCCTCCAAGCCACAGCCGCCACCTTCCGAAACCCGGGGATCCACCCCGGGGACGCTCCATCTCCCCCTGCGAGCGTGCCCCTGCTCGATTGGCCATACGGCGTGGAGCGGCGTTCAGGATTTTTGCCGCAAAATTGTTGGGGTTATTAATAATGAATTATAAGTCACCCCGAGCCCCCCCTGCACACTGAGATGTGAATGAGATTTGACAGTCGACTTCACCTCTCTAGTTGTGAGCCTGTGGGTCTCTGTGTGAGTCTATGGGTCTCTGTGTAAGTCTGTGAGTCTCTGTGTGAGTCTATGGGTCTCTGTGTGAGTCTGTGGGTCTCTGTGTGAGTCTATGGCTCTCTGAGTCTATGGCTCTGTTTGTGAGTATATGGGTGTCTGCTGTGTGAGTCTATGGGTCTCTGTTGTGTGAGTCTATGGGTCTCTGCTGTGTGAGTCTATGGGTCTCTGTGTGAGTCTGCGGGTCTCTGTGTAAGCCTATGGATCTCGTTGTGGGTCTATGGGACTTTATGTGAGTCTATGGGTCTCTGTGTGAGTCTATGGGTCTCTGTGTGAGTCTATGGGTCTCTGTGTGAGTCTATGGCTCTCTTTGTGATGCTATGGGTCTCTGCTGTGTGAGTCTATGGGTCTCTGCTATGTGAGTCTATGGGTCTCTGCTGTGTGAGTTTATGGGTCTCTGCTGTGTGAGTCTATGGGTCTCTGCTGTGTGAGTCTATGGGTCTCTGCTGTGTGCGTCTATGGGTCTCTGCTGTGTGAGTCTATGGGTCTCTGTGTGAGTCTGTGTGTCTCTGTGTGAGTCTGTGGGTCACTGTGTGAGTCTGTGTCTCTGTGTGAGTCTGTGGGTTTCTGTGTGAGTCTATGGGTCTCTGCTGTGTGAGTCTATGGGTCTCTGCTGTGAGTCTATGGGTCTCTGCTGTGTGAGTCTATGGGTCTCTGTGTGGGTCACTGTGTGTCTCTGTGTGAGTCTGTGGGTCACTGTGTGAGTCTGTGTCTCTGCTGTGAGTCTATGGGTCTCTGCTGTGTGAGTCTATGGGTCTCTGTGTGAGTCTGTGTGTCTCTGTGTGAGTCTGTGGGTCACTGTGTGAGTCTGTGTCTCTGTGTGAGTCTATGGGTCTCTGCTGTGTGAGTCTATGGGTCTCTGCTGTGTGAGTCTATGGGTCTCTGCTGTGTGAGTCTATGGGTCTCTGCTGTGAGTCTATGGGTCTCTGCTGTGTGAGTCTATGGGTCTCTGTGTGAGTCTGTGTGTCTCTGTGTGAGTCTGTGGGTCACTGTGTGAGTCTGTGTCTCTGTGTGAGTCTGTGGGTCTCTGTGTGAGTCTATGGGTCTCTGTGTGAGTCTATGGGTCTCTGCTATGTGATTCTATGGGTCTCTGCTGTCTGAGTCTATGGGTCTCTTTGTGAGTCTATGGGTCTCTGTGTGAGTTTATGGGTCTCTGCTGTGTGAGTCTATGGGTCTCTGCTTTGTGAGTCTATGGGTCTCTGCTGTGTGAGTCTATGGGTCTCTGTGTGAGTCTATGGGTCTCTGCTGTGTGAGTCTATGGGTCTCTGCTGTGTGAGTCTATGGGTCTCTGCTGTGTGAGTCTATGGGTCTCTGCTGTGAGTCTGCGGGTCTCTGCTGTGAGTCTATGGGTCTCTGCTGTGTGAGTCTATGGGTCTCTGCTTTGTGAGTCTATGGGTCTCTGCTGTGTGAGTCTATGGGTCTCTGTGTGAGTCTATGGGTCTCTGTGTGAGTCTGCGGGTCTCTATGTAAGTCTACGGGTCTTTATAGGAGTCCATGTGTCTCGATTGATTAATTATATATTTCCCCCCCCCCCCCACACCCACCCACCCCCCACCGAGACGTGAGTGAAGATTTACCGGTGGACTTAACCTCTAACGAACCGTGCCAGTGTCGCCTTTTGTGTTTGGCTGCGTTGATGAGGTCGCAACGGTGACCCCGCGGTGACCCGGGTTGACCCCAGGGATTGACCCCCATCCCCCCTCCCCACCGTCGGTTAATGACGAGGTGGAGGAATAGCTGCGGCGCTGTAATGACGACGATGATGATGATAACGATGATCACAGTGATGGCGACAACGATGATGTTGAGGATGATAATGACGATGATAATGACGACGATGATGATGACGATGATGAAGAGGACGACGACAACAATGATGATGACAACGATGATGATGATGACGATGACAACAATGATGACAACAACAATGATGACATCGATGATGACGATGACGATGATGATGACAACAATGACGATGATGGTGACAATGACGATGATGACGACAACAACGATGATGACGACAATGACGATGATAACGACAACAACGATGATGACGATGATGACGACAATGATGATGACAATGACAATCATGATGACAACGATGATGACGACAACAACGACGACAATGATGATATCAAACACGGAACCAGGTGTGCTGATTTACGGCTTAGTGGACCTAGGGGAGGCCCGGGACCGGTGCAGACAGTCGTCACCGTTCTGCGGGTGGCCGTGGGCGGGAATCGAACTCGGGTCGCTGGGTTCGTGATGCTGTTCGCTAACCGCCACAGCGAGATGGATACTGGATGTGGTGAGCCGTGCAATAAATTATTTCCTAGACTCACCGACTAACTCTGACCCTGAGGGAGACGGAGAGACACCCAGACCCAGGGCTCGAACCCAGCACCTCACTGTGACACGGTCATTGTGAACCCCTCCAGAGAGACACCCAGACCCAGGGCTCGAACCCAGCCTCTCAGTGTCTGTGACACGGTCATTGTGAACCCGTCCAGAGAGACACCCAGACCCAGGGCTCGAACCCAGCTTCTCACTGTGACACGGTCATTGTGAACCCCTCCAGAGAGACACCCAGACCCAGGGCTCGAACCCAGCCTCTCAGTGTCTGTGACACGGTCATTGTGAACCTCCTCCAGAGAGACACCCAGACCCAGGGCTCGAATCCAGCTCCTCATTGTGACACGGTCATTATGAACCCCTCCAGAGAGACACCCAGACCCAGGGCTCGAACCCAGCCTCTCAGTGTCTGTGACACGGTCATTGTGAACCCGTCCAGTGAGACACCCAGACCCAGGGCTCGAACCCAGCCTCTCAGTGTCTGTGACACGGCCATTGTGAACCCCTCCAGTGAGACACCCAGACCCAGGGCTAGAACCCAGCACCTCAGTGTCTGTGACACGGTCATTGTGAACCTCCTCCAGAGAGACACCCAGACCCAGGGCTCGAACCCAGCCTCTCAGTGTCTGTGACACGGTCATTGTGAACCCCTCCAGAGAGACACCCAGACCCAGGGCTCGAACCCAGCCTCTCAGTGTCTGTGACACGGTCATTGTGAACCCCTCCAGAGAGACCCAGGGCTCGAACCCAGCAGCTCATTGTGACAAGGTCATTGTGAACCCCGTCCAGTGAGACACCCAGACCCAGGGCTCGAACCCAGCCTCTCAGTGTCTGTGACTGCCATTGTGAACCCCTCCAGTGAGACACCCAGACCCAGGGATCGAACCCAGCACTAATTGTGACACGGTTATTGTGAACCCCTCCAGAGAGACACCCAGACCCAGGGCTCGAACCCAGCCTCTCAGTGTCTGTGACACGGAGAGACAGAGCCGGGGATTGAACTCGGGTCTCTGCTGTCCGTGCTGCTGCGCGTGCCGTGCGATGTCTGGCGTTGTGGTTGTGTACATGGAGTTGGTGGGTGGGTGGGGGGTTGGTGGGTGGGTGGGTGGTGGAGCGCGTGAGGGTACCGGGGCGTGTAATGTGAACCAGTCCTCGGGGTCGCCGCTAAAATAACAGAGTTAGTGCAGCTGAGCGGAAGCACACGCAAGCGGCCCCCACCCGTCCCCAATCCCTCCCTCTACCTCCCCACTCACTCCCTCCCTCCCTCTCCCCTCAATCACTCCCCAATCCTGCCACAACGTCTGGACGACTCTGTCTGGATGACTCTGTCTGGATGACTCTGGATGACTCTGTCTGGATGACTCTGTCTGGATGACTCTGGATGACTCTGTCTGGATGACTCTGTCTGGATGACTCTGGATGACTCTGTCTGGATGACTCTGTCTGGATGACTCTGGTTGACTCTGTCTGGATGACTCTGTCTGGATGACTCAGGATGACTCTGTCTGGATGACTCTGGATGACTCTGTCTGGATGACTCTGTCTGGATGACTCTGGATGACTCTGTCTGGATGACTCTGTCTGGATGACTCTGGATGACTCTATCTGGTTGACTCTGTCTGGATGACTCTGCCTGGATGACTCTATCTGGTTGACTCTGTCTGGATGACTCTGTCTGGATGACTCTGGATGACTCTGTCTGGATGACTCTGTCTGGATGACTCTGCCTGGATGACTCTGCCTGGTTGACTCTGTCTGGATGACTCTGTCTGGATGACTCTGCCTGGATGACTCTATCTGGTTAACTCTGTCTGGATGACTGTCTGGTTGACTCTGCCTGGTTGACTCTGTCTGGTTGACTCTGTCTGGATGACTCTATCTGGTTGACTCTGTCTGGATGACTCTGTCTGGATGACTCTGCCTTTGATGACTTTGTCTGGACGACTTTGTCTGGATGACTCTGTCTGGATGACTCTGGGTGACTCTGTCTGGATGACTCTGTCTGGATGACTCTGCCTGGATGACTCTGTCTGGACGACTCTGTCTGGATGACTCTGTCTGGATGACTCTGGGTGACTCTGTCTGGATGACTCTGCCTGGATGACTCTGTCTGGATGACTCTGCCTGGTTGACTCTGTCTGGGTGACTCTGTCTGGATGACTCTGGATGACTCTGTCTGGATGACTCTGTCTGGATGACTTTGGATGACTCTGTCTGGATGACTCTGTCTGGATGACTCTGGATGACTCTGTCTGGATGACTCTGTCTGGATGACTCTGTCTGGATGACTCTGGTTGACTCTGTCTGGATGACTCTGTCTGGATGACTCAAGATGACTGTCTGGATGACTCTGGATGACTCTGTCTGGATGACTTTGTCTGGATGACTCTGGATGACTCTGTCTGGATGACTCTGTCTGGATGACTCTGGATGACTCTATCTGGTTGACTCTGTCTGGATGACTCTGCCTGGATGACTCTATCTGGTTGACTCTGTCTGGATGACTCTGTCTGGTTAACTCTGTCTGGATGACTCTGTCTGGATGACTCTGCCTGGATGACTCTGTCTGGATGACTCTGGATGACTCTGGATGACTCTGTCTGGATGACTCTGCCTGGTTGACTCTGTCTGGATGACTCTGTCTGGATGACTCTGCCTGGATGACTCTGCCTGGTTGACTCTGGTTGACTCTGTCTGGATGACTGTCTGGTTGACTCTGCCTGGTTGACTCTGTCTGGTTGACTCTGTCTGGATGACTCTATCTGGTTGACTCTGTCTGGATGACTCTGTCTGGATGACTCTGCCTGGATGACTTTGTCTGGACGACTCTGTCTGGATGACTCTGTCTGGATGACTCTGGGTGACTCTGTCTGGATGACTCTGTCTGGATGACTCTGCCTGGATGACTCTGTCTGGACGACTCTGTCTGGATGACTCTGGGTGACTCTGTCTGGATGACTCTGCCTGGATGACTCTGTCTGGATGACTCTGCCTGGTTGACTCTGTCTGGGTGACTCTGTCTGGATGACTCTGGATGACTCTGTCTGGATGACTCTGTCTGGATGACTTTGGATGACTCTGTCTGGATGACTCTGTCTGGATGACTCTGGATGACTCTGTCTGGATGACTTTGGATGGCTCTGTCTGGATGACTCTGTCTGGATGACTCTGTCTGGATGACTCTGCCTGGATGACTCTGTCTGGATGACTCTGGATGACTCTGTCTGGATGACTCTGTCTGGACGACTCTGCCTGGACGACTCTGTCTGGATGACTCTGTCTGGATGACTCTGCCTGGATGACTCTGTCTGGTTGACTCTGTCTGGATGACTCTGTCTGGATGACTCTGTCTGGATGACTTTGGATGACTCTGGATGACTCTGTCTGGATGACTCTGCCTGGATGACTCTGCCTGGATGATCTGCCTGGATGACTCTGTCTGGATAACTCTGTCTGGATGACTTTGGATGACTCTGTCTGGATGACTCTGTCTGGATGACTCTGCCTGGATGACTCTATCTGGTTGACTCTGTCTGGATGACTCTGTCTGGTTAACTCTGTCTGGATGACTCTGGATGACTCTGGATGACTCTGTCTGGATGACTCTGCCTGGATGACTCTGTCTGGACGACTCTGTCTGGATGACTCTGTCTGGATGACTCTGGGTGACTCTGTCTGGATGACTCTGCCTGGATGACTCTGTCTGGGTGACTCTGTCTGGATGACTCTGGATGACTCTGTCTGGATGACTCTGTCTGGTTGACTCTGCCTGGTTGACTCTGGTTGACTGTGTCTTGATGACTCTGTCTGGATGACTCTGTCTTCTATCTTCAGATGGTCGCTTGTTGTTGCGATCGAAACGTCGTGATTTTTTTTTTTCAACCTACCTTACTTTACCGAAAGACACAAATAATCAGCTCTGGTAGGAGAAGGTGATGATGGTGATGATGGTGATGATGATGATGGTGGTGATGATGGTGATGATGATGATGGTGGTGATGATGGTGGTGATGATGGTGATGATGATGATGGTGGTGATGATGGTGGTGGTGATGATGGTGATGATGATGGTGGTGATGATGGTGGTGATGATGGTGGTGATGATGATGGTGGTGATGATGATGGTGGTGATGATGGTGGTGATGGTAGTGGTGATGATGGTGGTGATGATGGTAGTGATGATGGTGGTGATGATGATGGTGATGATGATGATGGTGGTGATGATGATGGTGATTATGATGATGGTGGTGATGATGGTGGTGGTGGTGATGATGGTGGTAATGATGATGGTGGTAATGCTGATGGTGGTGATGATGGTGATTATGGTGATGATGGTGGTGATGATGATGGTGGTGGTGATGGTGGTGGTGATGATGGTGGTAATGATGATGGTGGTGATGATGGTGGTGGTGATGATGGTGGTGATGATGGTGGTGGTGGTGGTGATGATGATGATGGTGGTGATGATGGTGGTGATGATGATGGTGATGATGGTGGTGATGATGGTGGTGGTGGTGATGATGATGGTGGTGATGATGGTGGTGATGATGATGGTGATTATGATGATGGTGGTGATGATGATGGTGGTGATGATGATGGTGGTGATGATGGTGGTGGTGATGATGGTGATGATGATGATGATGGT